CACCACAGGCAGGGCCACCAACCTCCCCATTTAATACTAGACCAGGCTGCCCCCTAATGCCCCCATCCAACCTGGCCCTGAACACCTCCAGGGACGGGGCATCCACAACCTCTCTGTGCAGCCTGCTTCAGCACCTCACCACTCTCATAGTAAATATTCCCATATTTGGGAATGAAGTTGTTTGTTTCTCCTCTTAACTTTCCTGTTCCTTTTCAAAGGGGAAAGTTTTCTAGTTTTGTTTTGAGTTTTATAAAATAAACACTTGAAATGGAGAAAGGTGGATCTCTCCTTGCAGTCTTTTCTATTTCCTTCTGCAGCTTTTATGTAAATCAAGGTATAAAATCCTACTAGAAAAGCTGGATTCTCTAGTGGCGGTTGTCCATGCTTGTGCTTGTCATTCTGTACTTGAACAACCTGCTGCTGTTAGAAACTTCTCTTAATTAAAAACCTGATTTAGTGAATTTTTTGATTGAAACTTAAATTGATGGGGTATTCAGGCATTTGAATTTTAGAAAACTGTCCCTCTGTTTCTTTTATTTTTATAGAAAGGAAACTGAAGCAATTGAAGCATGCATTGAAGCAATGAGTAAAACGTGTTTATTAAACCAACACTCCTACAAAGGTATGACAAGAATCTTAAATATTTTTTTTGCAACTTGTATGTATTTCAGTGACAGGTATGTTTCACTTGAATCTGATGAGTTTGAGACCACAATTCATGTTAACGGTGATAGAAAACTTAAGCAAAAAACATTATCAGAGCTCTGTTCCCTTTATTTCTGTTCTGTTTATTCAAGGCCCTTTGAAAAAATGTCTCAGTAAGACCACTTGTAACTGGGTAAATAACTTACCCAGTAGCAAAGTCCTGCCAGGTTCCATCTGCAGCCTTTTTAAAGACTTTAACAGCTACGTTAGCTGCAGGACTTCCTCTGACTGCATCCAGCACTTTCACCATGAGAGGGCATTTGGAATCAACAGAGCCGTGGGAGACCTGCAGGAAAGCAAGAGAGGTTGTAAAGGAGCTGTTCACTAGCCCTGCAATAACCTTGTTTCAAAGAGTAGATGGATTCTTATTGCAGAATTAATGCTGACTTGGAAGGAATTTCTTTGCCAGATGGTATACAAAGACAGTCCCAAGCTTCTGTTTTGTCCCCCATACTTTCTTACAGAAGAGTATCTTCGATGTTTATACAGATCACTTTATTTTACACACATACATATGCACACTATTTTATAACTATTTAGAATTGCATATAATCCTGGAAAAAATGTTATAGAAAAGATACTTTTTTAACGAGATCGCAAATAATAAAGTAGTAAGTTAATGTAAGCACAGGCAGAGTATGTTAGCCTAGGCAGCCAACAACAAATACCAACAATGTCATTAAGGGTGAAAGGATGTTGTTTCCTTAAGCTTTGCTATACTATGATACATTCTTAGTCATGCTTTAAAAATATTTAAATTTCTTTAGAGAAACACTTGTTTGGTGAAGAAGCTGTCTCTGTTCTGAAGATATAGGATGCGAGTCACAAGCTGACAGAAGAAGAAAAACAAAAGTTTCTATCTCCTATATACCAGACCCTTTTGTAGTATCCTAAAATAGATAGATAAATGGTGAAAGAAAAGCTGTGTAAAAAAGTGGTAGAAAAATAACACTTCAGGACTGTCTAATGGTTGCATTGATTGAGTTTGAATTAAAAAGAAAGACTCACCAGTGGTGCAGCTTCAGAGAGAAATACCAGTCCAGCTAAGAAAACAAGAAGAGTAGAGTGAAAGGCCATTCTGCTTGCTTTTAGTGAGTCGTGGTGCCAACAGCTAGGATCTGATGAGATTTGGGATTTTATACCCAACCCTACAAGAAAACAGGCTGCTTATTGGGTGCCCATATGACTACAAATCTGCTGATTCTGATTATTTGCTTAGTAAACAGTCCAATCCTAGAGACAGTCCATGAATAATGCTGCCATTGCAGTCAATGGAAGACCTGCAGGATCACTAGAGTAAAGAGAATAAGTAACGGACACAAACATGACCCTTGCCTGGGGAGATTAAACTTGTAAAAAAACCCTCCACAAAATAATGTAAGCAACCTTTCCTTGCCTAGAAGTCCAGCCAGTTCTAGGAGATGTTCCCTTGCCCTCAGGTTGTGCATGATAGTGCCCCAATGTTTCTCAGTATGTGCTTTGTTTCTTCCCTAATTTTTTTAATGCTTTCCAAAGACTAGCTGCCAAATATAGATGTGGATTTAATATTAGTGATGGAGTTTGTTTGCTGCCTAGCTCAGGAAGCATTAATAGTCCAAGCATGGAGACAGATTCCCATGTCTGATCCTGCTTGTTTAAAAGGAGCATTGTTTCTTTTTGAAACTTAATCTACATGTCCCCAGGGACATCAGGCAGATGCTGAAGCTTCCTCTTTGTCACTGGAGAGAGGCCTAGAATGACCTGTTCTTCTGCGAAGATAGAGGTTTAAGAAAAGTGAGAGGAGTCCTCTCTTTCCTCATGGCACACCAGGATAAGCAAAGTCAAATGGCAGAGTGATCTCTGCCATTAGCTTAAATTAAAATCTCTGCCAGTAGCTTAAATTAAAATCTAATGGTCAAACTCTTACCATCCTGGCAGAGATATTGTTACCCTCTACAACGTAGTCTGCAATGTACGATAAGAGTAGCTTCAGGGGTGAATTTGGCCCCAGTGTAAACTGGAAAGGAAATGGCTGTCGGAAGAATATGCATGGGATAGCTGTTTTTTTTCAGCTACATTACATAAAGCTTGTCCATATTGCTTGTGCTTGTTGAATGAGAAAAAAAATTTCCTTTGGCACTTCCTTCTTCCCATGTCCTAAAGAACTCTGATTTTATATTTCTGCTCTTTGGAGGTGATAAGCCTAATTCTCATTTCAAAATATTCTAACAAAAAACATTTTTGCCTCCTAACTTAGGTTGGATTATGATGAAGAGAGAGTGAGTTTATGGACAGCGTTCTCCAGAGGTTTTTCATGCTTTCAGATGGCTTCATGTAGTCTGTTCTCTCTAAGCAAGGTTGTTTTTTGGAAAAAAAATCTATATTACAGTAATCTCCTGAACTGAAATCAAAGTGCCCTTTGGACTTACAGCAAAACAAGCTGATACGTAGGTAGCATTCTATGTTCAATTTCCATGCATAGAAGTTAGTGCAAGGTGACCAGCAATAACAAATCATGCTGCAGCCTAGTGCTTGTGAGTTCTCTTCAGGCACTGGAGAGGTAAATACTGCTCTTAGGTCAGTGCATCAGTGCTTTATATGCTTACTTTGCTCTCTGCGGTTTGCAAGTATTTCTATGAAGCAGTAAAATTTTGTACATCAGGACGATAAATGATCTGTGCTTTAGTTGAAATAGACTGTTCTCTCATTTGCTATCTGCTCTTCTGCAAGGGAAAAATGTCAAGGCGCTAATGAGCTTAATTGAACCTAGAATTCCCTCTTATGGGAGAATGACTTTAAAAAAATAACCATTTTTACTAGGTTTTACTGCAAGATAGGAGTTTCTGAAAAACCAGGTCTAAAAGGACAGTATATTTCATCTGTCTGTATAATCTATTTTAGTTTCCCCTTATAAAATGACCTTTTGGTAGCTGGTTGTTTTTGAAGCAGAAGAAATAAGCACAGAAAAATCCAAACATGATTTTTACTTCATTTTTTTTTCTCCTCCTTCCATTACAGGTTTTTTTTTTTTTTTTTGACTCTTCCCATCCCATCCATAATTTAAATTTAAATAGCGATTCTTTGACTATTAGCAGGGCCACCATTCTGAAAGGAAAATAAACTCTGTGTGTTTGTGATTCTCTTTGAAAAGGTAAACACCTTTAATATTCCTCCGACCTGGAAGGTCACTGAACATCTAGAACTTATACAAAATTCTATTAAAACCCCATTTGAACCTAATTTAAAATTAATATAGACTAGTGAAATGAATGATAGTCAGACCTTCCTCCTTTCCTTGTCAGCCTCAACATATTCACACAAATACTGCAAGTGAAATAGTTTTGGTAAAATGCATGGGAATTTCTGGGAATGAGGAATATATATATATTGAAGTAGCTGAAAGAAAAATGCATCTGTTTGGAGTGAGAAGAAATGAAGTCACCAGAAAAAACAGATAGAGGCTCCCACTTGGCTGGATTTAAAAGGAGAAGGGAGGGGTAGTTCTTAAAGGACATGGCTGCAAAATTGCTGTCATCCAGGTTGCATGTGTGTTTGTATTGGGAGAGATTTTGACATCTGCATCCAATTGAGCTCTAACGTTTTATAGAATTTACCCACCTCAGGGAATGAAATCTTATTACCTTGAGCAAGAATCAAAACACTTGACTGTAGGGGAGAGAAGGAAAAAGGAGATGAGTAACTGCTGAGCATTTGCAAGTGATGACTGACTGTTGTCTATTGTTTCTACACCCTCTCTCTGTAACGGGAGTCTGAAGTTTATAAACAGAATATTTTCAGCTTATAAGGGAAATGAAAAGAAGCTGAGCATTGAGGAGCAAGCAGGGCTAAGAGCAAACAGACTTCTGAAGCAGTAGGGAAGAGCAAGAAACTGGTGGGCAATACCCAGAGCCTCTGCTAGCAGGGTATGTGCCACAAGAAAAGGGGTGCAACACAGAACCTTAGGCATCGGGCAGTATCATAAAAGCCCTACTGCAGGGAAAGAGTAAATGCAATCAGTGAAGACACCTCAAAAAGAAAGTTATTTAGAAATCCTGGTGTGGAAAAAAAGTAAGGTTATGTAGCTAACATGGAAACAGAAAGAGGCTATTTGGGACTGAAGGGCACTCAGAACCCAGAGTAAGGAAGAAGCAGAGTGATTAGAAAACTAAAGGAGAGAAAGGCAGAGTCCCTGGTGTACACAGTAACCATGATCCTATGGAAACCAAGAGTTATGAGACACCCCCAGCTGTGGAAAAAAAATAGATAATCCTCAAATATGTAAATACTCTAAAGCTTATCTGAATTCCAAATCAATTGGAGCTCATCAAGAATGAGAATTAATGCCTATTTTTACAGAAAGCATGTTCCCTGCTTGGAAGCTTTACAGCGTTCAGGTCAAGAACAAACATGTCCCACTAATACTTTTGTTTATGTCAAGGCTTTTTCCAACTGCTTTGCAGTATACCTTTCCCTCTCTTCTGCATAGTCTTGTACAGTTATGTTTATTTTACACAGATAATCTCTTTACTCTCTGCTCCGTTCTCTTCTGTTTGATTTTATTTAGTAATCCAACTGTTTCTACATGGCATGATGTTCAGGCAGGATGGTGCTGCTGACTTTGAGCATAAAGGACTGTAAGCTACTCATTTGATATTGGGAGGAAAGGGGCTGATGGTAATCTGGATAAATTTTCCTAGCATTTTTTCTAAAAAAGTAATGGTTTTCTGAGCTCAAAAAATATGTTCTATAATATAGAGATTTCACTATGGCACTTTTTTCTGCCCCCACTTTTCTGGAGTTACTTTCCACTAGTACTTAAGAGGAAAAGACCTAAGATTTACCTCTTGACTAAGTTTGCCTGAACATTCTGAACTAGAGTCAAGAACTATTAGCAGGGCCACTATTCTAAAAGGAAAATAAACTCTGTATGCTTGTGATTCTCTGTAAACAGGTTTTACTCCACACATCTGCCACTGAATTGCTGTGGCTGAGCTCTGGCACATTAGGGTGCTGCTGGGGTCAACGAGAGATTTTCTGTTGATTTTGCTATTTGCTAATGATGCACCATTTTTCCACTCTGCAGAGCCAGGAATAGTTCTTTCCTGATTAAAAAATGTACTCAGAGAGATTCACACATGAGCCTGAGTTTCAGTTTTCAAAGAATTGCTTTAAAAATAGTGTGAGTCCAGATGTATTTGGTGAGTGCATGTTTGTCAGTCTGCTGTACATTTTGATTTTGTATAGGGAATGTGTCTATGTTTAGAGTTTTAATGATCATTCTCCAATTACCTTGTTCCTAACATTGGGTCATTAAGTGGGAAGTAAGGAAATATTACTGCTCTGAAATGCAAAAATAAGAAAATCATCCTTACCTTGTACACTACATGAAACACAATTATTCTGTTAGCAAATGACTTAGATGTCAGAAGAGTAGGGTTCAGTTTCAGGTAAAAAATCCCAGTTTTTGATCATATCAAGGTTACATCCCAGCAGGGATGTAGTTACATCTCCTTAGAAATAGCCCAATGTCTAAAAAACTGAAACATCTAAGTAGACGATGGTTGCTCTGGGGCATTTGTGATTTCTGAATTCACCTCACACCTTCTCATCGGAGCAAGCTTTCACTCTGACGTGTTTCAGCTCCAAAGGTGGCTGGACATTAATCAGTGCTACTTTGTTAGTTTCCTCTAAAACAAGCTTCTGTTCTTCAACTTCAGTATGTATTCATGTTTACATACTAACCCATCAGTCTAGACAAGTAATTGCAAAAATAAACCCCATCTCAATTTACATACAAAACTAACTTAATAATTCTTGCGCCAACCCTGGTGCCTCAGCCTCTTGTATTGCTGAAAAATGCTTTGAACTTGCCATGAGATCAATGTTTTTTAAAGCTCAGTGTCTTTGTTAGCAAAATGGTGAAAGTTGTTCATGTGTTTTTGTCCCCTCCTTACAGTAAGAGGTACACAGGAAATCCACAACATGAAGCAAGTGTTCTTAATAGCAAAAAAAGCAACAACAGAGATCATGAGTTTCACAGTGCCTTTGCAGGGCTAAATTTTTAAGGGAATCTCCACAAATTATGGATCACTGATGACAATGAAAATCTTCCCCATACCTACTATGATCATTAGAAATATTCTGTAGAGTTAAATGATAATCTTTTCTTAGCTTACCTATGTATTTACTGAAGGTCCTGTGTCAGCTATTACAGCTGTGTACTTTGTTCTGCATCTTGCTGTTTAAGATTGTAAAATGCTGAGTCTAAGGCTTTATTCCCAGACACTTCATTCTGGTACCTGAATACAAATAGGTGTGTGGAAATGCCTGTTTTTCCAGCATGCAGGTCCACCTGGGTAGGCTCTTCAAAAGCTTCTTCAAATTTGCACAGAGCCAAACTAGCCATTGGTCAATGCTTAATTGTCCTGCAGTGTCATTTAAATTACTCAGTTTTTTCTTTAGTGGAGATCAATATAGAGAGATCATCACATGGACTCGTCTGGATGGAGCTTTGAGGTGAAGTGTACCTGGAGTGCATACCATGCTGTACTGGGTGTCCTGGGCTGCCCAACCCCTTTAATCCTCCTATAGACCTGCCCAATTTGTCTCACGAACTGGGTGACTGTTTCTTTCGTGGACTTCACTATTTTAGTGCTGCAGAACCACCAACAGCATGATGTGTAAGCAGAAGAAAAGTAAAGAAAAAGAGTTGATAGCTGTTGGAGGTCAGTCACTGCTCCTAGATAAGCTCACCTGAGTGAAAAGCTGTCTCTGTTTATATCTGCAGTAGACATGAAAGCTAACTCTTTGAGTAAGATGGGAAATATGGGGTGAAGGAATATTGCAAAAATAATGAGTAGCTTTGGGATTCATAGAATCGTAGAATCATAGAGTCACCAAGATTGGTGAAGATCTACAAGGTCATCCAGCCCAATCATTTACCTATCACCAATAGTTCTCACTAAACCATGTCACTCAACACAATGTCTAAATGTTCCTCAAATGCCTCCAGGGTTGATGACTCCATCACCTCCCTGGGCAGCCCATTCCAGTGCCCAAATTGCCAGTAAACTGTGATAGTTTTATACAAAGCAGGACAAAAGTCATTTGTACATACTTTGAAATGTTGTGGGTTACATAAGTTAGCATGGCTTGATACACTGTAAGGGAAAATACAGCTTGTGTATGTCTTCATACAGAATCATAGAAACATAGAATGGCTTGGATTGGAAGGGACCCCAAGGATCATCAAGTTCCAATCCCCCTGCCACAGGCAGGGCCACCAACCTCCAGATCTGGTACTAGACCAGGCTGCCCAAGGCCCCATCCAACCTGGTTTTGAACACTTCCAGGGATGGAGAATCCACAGCCTCTCTGGACAGCCTGTTCCAGCATCTCACCACTCTCCCTGTAAATAATTTCCCTCTGACATCCAAACTAAACCTTCCCTCCCTGAACTTAAAACCATTCCTGCTTGTCCTATCACTGTCAACATTTGTAAACACAATTTCTTTTCCCTTGGACATTCTGTATGAAGTGCTATATATTCCACATCAGTGCAAACACAGACTGCCACTTTAAATGGACCAACAGATGCTACATGGTCACATTTTCAGTCTGGTGCTTATAACCCCTTTTCCTACTGCCAGCCAAATTGGGAGACCAAATTCTAATCCAGTAGCACATCCATGCTCAAGTCTGTAGAGTGCAAGCTTGTCAGTAGTTCAGCGTAACCCTTGCTAAGGACAAACCATCTCTAAACTGCATTCAGAACACTTCCTGTAGCACATAAATAAAGTACACAGCTGCTGAGGCTTCAATTTATTTATAGGTATGGCTGTTGCACCACTGCTCTAAATTCACAATCACAGCAATTACAAGTCTGACATGCATTTGGGTTATGCATTTCATCTCTGATCTGTGTCTGTGCCTGTTCTTCCTGGGGAGTGTATACCTTGTTTTTCTTGGTCTGCACAGTGTTTGGTACAGCCACATACCATTG